ACTCACTCTAGCTGGTACCCAAAAAGAGAGTTCGGTTTCCAGGCCAATATTACCAACACACACACACTTCTTTTATACCAAATAGATTCCACTCGGGTAAATTTATACGAACGAGTTGGCGATAAAATAAGATTTCTGACCCACTTCAGAAGCACTTAATTTACAGTTTTATTATCAGCTGTTATTTATAGAGGGGAAAAACAATGTATTTGAAGATGCTATATAATGCGGCTTGAATGACACTCAAACAGACGCGACAAAGTGGTTGATATAGTGTGAGTCTTAATGATTCTTAAAGGAAATGGTTGATATAGTGTGATTCTTTGATTCGTAGACATGTGAGATGGGTGAAATAGTGTGATTCTTTATGATTCGTACACATATAAGATGAATTAGCGAGTGTGTGATTCTTTAATGATTCTCAACACATTAAATGACAGAGAGCCACTGTGATTCTTATTGATTCTCGAGACATTAAATGGCTGAGAAACACAGTGTGATCCTCAACATAGGAAATGTCTATCTATCAGCTCTCTTAGGTGAGACAGATAGATTATTTTATAACAAGAGCTTGACGCCAGGATCTATTAAGAATCCCGGACACACACACACACACACACACACACACACACACACACACACACACACACACTTACCTTCTCATACAACATAACACCTACACATATACCTACATAGCCTCACCACACCTCCCTTTCTTACGCCATACCTCATCACCACACACTATAACACTAAAGGGAGGACCATAGAGCACTCTTACCTGTCTCTTCTCCCATCACCTACACCACCCTTAATACTAGTAGCTTAGGCCTGACCACACCCCCACCCCACCCCACCCCCACCCCACCCCACCCTTCTAATGCTCTCTCTTCTTACTTACACTCCCCCTATTCTTCCTTCCCTCTTCCCTTCCTTCTTTCCTGCCTTCCTTCCCTCCCTTCCTCCACCTTTCCTTTATTCCTCCCTTCCTCTTCTTCCCTCTAACTACCGTCCAAGCAAATTGCTGGAAGCACAATTTCAATATTCATTCGAAATCACTTGGAGAAGCACAAGTTGATCAATGATTCCCAGGTGGGTCTGCGTCTAACTAATCTATTAACATTCTTTTCAACTGTTTTTGAATCAGTGGACAACGGTTACGATTATGATGTAGTATATCTCGACTTTAGCAAAGCCTTCGACAGAGTCCCCCACTAAAGACTAATCGAAATGGAATAAAGCGTGGTTACAGGACAGGAAACAGCGAGTAAGCATTAACGGCACTAAATCCGATTGGGGTAACGTCACTAGTGGAGTACCTCAAGGCTCAGTACTTGGACCATTATTATTTATTATATACATAAACGACATAGATATCGGCGTAGACAGCAACATTAGTAAATTCGCTGATGACACTAAAATAGGGCGTGTAATTAAATCTGACGTTGACTCCGCAAAACTACAGGAAGATCTAAAAAAAAAATTTCGCATGGTCTGAAAAACGGCAGATGAAATTTAATGTGGACAATTGTAAAGTACTTAGTTTAGGAGATGTAAACAGGGAAACCAGATACCAGATGAACAACGATGTTATAGAGAAATCCGACTGTGAGAAAGATTTAGAAGTAAATGATAAGTAGGAACCTTACGCCAAGTAAACTATGTGTATTTGCTCGAAACAAGGCTAATAAAGTACTTGGGTTCATACAGAGGAGTGTTACAAGACTAGCGAGGTCATCCTAAAAATATATCTTGCTCTTGTGAGACCACACCTGGATTATGGTAGTTCAGTTCTGGTCACCGTATTACAGAATGGTTATAGAATCCATAGAAAGAATTCATAGAAGAATGATAAGACTAATCCCAGGCATTAGGAATCTTGAGTACAGAGACAGGTTAAAGCATCTTAATTTGAAGCACTCCCTCGAGAGACGTAGAGTGAGGGGCGATATGAACGAGGTGTATAAATGGAAGTCAGGGCTAAACAAAGGTGACATAACAGAGGTACTCAAACTATCCAACCAGGAGCGAACTCGTAACAATGGTTTTAAATTAAACAAATTTAGATTTAGGCGCGAGATGGGTAAACATTGGTTTGGAAATAGAGTAGTGGATGAATGGAACAAGTTACCAAACATCATCATTAACTCGAATACGATGGATAGCTTCAAACATAGGTTGGATGGATATATGAGCGATAGGGGTTGGGTGTAAACGGGACTGCCCAGTATGGGACAATAGGCCCGCTGCAGTTTCCTCCATTCTTATGTTCCTTCTCTTTCTCCTTCCTTCACTTCTCTTCCTCCATCTCCTAACCTCACCCTCCTTATCTCACCCCGACCCACATGACACAATTTCTCTTCACCATAAACCAACCTCACCCAGTTATCATTCCATCATCACCCACACACCCTCTCATCCCACCCACTCAAATACCACCCCTTCATCCCACTCATTCACAATACCCCCACACCCCAGTCATTCATATTCACTGCCTAAACCC